CTTTCTCTCTGTCCCCTTCCATTCCATTTGCTCTTGCCTTCTTTTCTCTCTCTCTCTCTCTCCTCTCCCTTCCTCCCCCTCCCCTCCTCCTTCCTCCCTCCCCCTCTCTCCTCCCCTCCTCCCCTCCTTCCCTCCCTCCCTCCCCCTCTCTCCCTCCCCCCTCCTCCTCTCTCCCTCCCTCCTCCCCATCCTTCCCTCCTCCCTCTCTCTCTTGATCTATCCAAATGTGCGTGTATGTATACATTTATGTGCGTATGGATAAACGGAGAGACAAGTGCAAGTAACACACATTATCCATCAATCCAACGTCACCCATATACACAGGGACTTTACACAGGAGGGAAAAATACCCTAAAATATTCTTTCAAGAACACAGAAGACGTAGCATTGTCTTCCGTTCAAAGGACATCTGGAATGGGAATATTTCTTTTCTTTTCCCTCTCCTTTGAAGACGAAATGAAAGGGAAAGGAATAATAATACAAGAGTGGAATATATTAACGTTTTTTTTTTTTTTTTTTGGGGGGGTGGGCTTGGATTCCAGGTTATTTTGATACTTATGGAGTGTTGTCTGATTGTAAATTTTACGTGATTTTTTTCCTGGATTAATGAACTCGATTTTTTTTGTGTTGGAATCGCTATAGTTACGTTTTGTGATCGTATTATTCGCAATAGTTTTTTTATTCTTATTTTCGATTGTTTTAAACTCGATAAAAAAAAATAGTGTTGGAATCGCTATAGTTACGTTTTATTATCGTATTATTCGCAATAGTTTTATCTTTATATTTTTCGATTGTTTTAAACTCAGTTTCATTTGGTTTGTTTGTCTGTCGACGTAGAATATAATCAGTTTATTTATCTATGTCGGATAAATTATTTTGGAATTATCATGTTTTCTTTTTATGAGTCTAGGAGTTCTTAGCGTGATCCGAAAAAGGGTTTTTATCATTGTCTAAGAAATTTATGTAATAAATCGAGGTCGTGGGCAGGGCCAATAACTAGTGGGCAAATGTGGCATAACTAGTGTTAACTGGTGGGCAATAACTAGTGGGCAATAACTGGTGGGCAGTAACTAGTGGGCAATAACTGGTGGGCAATAACTAGTGGGCATTAACTGGTGGGCAATAACTAGTGGGGAACAGCTGACGGGCAATAACTAGTGGTAATATATGGCGGGCAATAACTAGTGGGCAGTAATTGGTGGGCAATAGCTGCTTGGGCAATAGTAGATGGGCAATAACTAGGCGGCATTAACTGTTGTGCAAAAACTAGTGGACACTAACTGGTGGGCAATACCTAGTGGGCAAAAGTTGGTGGGGAATAACTAATGGGCAATAGGTTGCTTACGACTCATGATAACAGTAACATGTAATAAGCAAGATAAAAGACAGATATACAAATAGATGATAAAAATAAGAATAATTGATAACAAGAAAATAACCAACGTTCAACAGCTGTTCAAAACAGATATATAAATAGAAAAAATAAAAAATAATTGGTAACAAGAAAATAACCAGCGTTCAACAGCTGTTCAGTTGATGAACACTTGTTTTCATTCTGTGACTCAACAACTGTTTGGCTTAGTTCGTATTGTAATTACTTTGTAAAACGTTTACATTAATCATTTAATTATTAATTATTGTTCGTGGACTTATCAAGTCTATGTTGGAAAAGAAATCAATTCATTTTATATATTTAATCATTTTTTGTAATGCTACATACTCGCATGAATTTTTATGAGCAGTAAAAGAGTTGCTAATATATAAAATAATGGCTTAATATATTAAGCCGTTGTCTGCATAAGAGGCTTATTAACAAATTACTGGACAAATAGTATTAAATTATAGTGTGTTTAAGTGTGCAAGTTCTCCAGTTAACTCTTTTTGAAAACTTTGTAAAAAGCCCGATAAATCCAAATCGATTGTGTAGATTTTTTATATTTATTTATATCCTTCTACAAACCAGAGTTGATCAAAGTCTGTTGTTTGTAAAAGCAACAGATTTATATAAAACAAATCAAAATCACATTATAGTATCGCGAATACTTCATGTCTATTAAGTAACTTATAAAAAAAAGGATTAATAAAAAGGCATATTTGGCAAATACTGATAGCTTTATTAGAACCTACAGTGGGGGCATATGCAAAAGAGCTCTTCAGAAGATTAGCCGGCAATTATATGTTTTTTTTTATTATTATTATGATTATCCAGTTTTCTTCGTCTATAGCCTACGTCAGTGCATATCAACAAAAGAACGTTTTTTTCTTCTGTTGTAGTCTGACTTTTGTGCATGCTTGTGTTCACGACTCAAAAAATCTAACCTACTGCAATATGGATGAACTTCATACCAGAATAAAACTATTAATAGTCCTTATTAATTAATCAATATTATTAATAATAATTAAATAATATTAATTAATGATATTAATCAATAATATTAATAATAATTAATATTATTAATTATTAATTAATAATAATAAAACTATTAATAATAATAAAAATATTAATAGATGGCGGTTAAACCTGTCTCCTTTTGAACACTTAGTAGCCCTAGCCTCTAACATCTTATCGTGGTTAATATAATTTGCCTGTTGATTCCAGTCTAGAGAGAAACCGGGAAAGACAACCAGTAAAAGCCATTTCCTAAATTGACTATTTGGCACTACCAACAACACGTCACGGTGCAAATAACACCATGTAGATCACTAGTTCTAGAAAAGTAAGAAAAATTCAGTGAAAATCGTCCCATAAGAGACTTGACAATGCTAGAAAAGTAAGAAATTAGTCTCGTCAAAATATACAAACAAGCAGATTGAAAAACAAATTACATTAGCCTCCCCTTCCAAAATCACGCAAAGGCTTTGTAATCGTTAAAAAAAAAGTCGAACGAGAAATTTTCTCATTCCCAAATAACGTAAAAACGTTTTTTGATAAGTTATGGGGACTATCACAAGATAAATAAATGGAGGTAATAATTTTCATATCAATGAAAATTAAGTATATTTTCATCTTTACAAGAAAAGATAAAAATTCTCCACTTCACTTCAGTCTTCGTTTTCTATCGTCTGGCTTCCCATTCAATGGTAAACAAACCTCGTCGATTTTTATAATATATGGTATATGATTCAAATAAACTCATTCTAAACAAATGAAGTTAAAACATTTAAATACATATATATAAAAGGCTCGTACAAAGAACCGAAGAGTAAAATGTTAACCATGAAACAGGAGATAAATATCACAATAATGAACGCGGTAGTAAAATAAATAGATTGCACAACCTCATAATATGAAGTTTACTCATCTGTTGACTACAAGGTATCTTTACACAGGTATAACCACTCCATCTTGAAAAAAACCTAGTTGGCAACTTCCGACCTAAGCCCCGCCTCATCACTTTAATCATTGCAAATATACATGTTTTTTTTTCTTTCTTTTGGGGGGTTTTGTTTCGATTGTTTTTTTTTAAATCATTGTTATTACTGAGCCATTTATAAAAAAAAAGATGCACTGAAATAACTCTTAACATAGAATATTGCAATAACTGTTAGGTTAAAAATAGGGGTGGAGCTAATGATGTTGCCATTTTTAGCCAATGAGAGTACGCCGTGAGATATCAGATATAGCTATATACATAATTATTTATATAATATACTCTATATTTTCATACTTACCAGAAGTAACACCAAAATTCCCATCTTTTATTTATGATAACCAAGATTTCCTTACCATTAACAGCCATCAAAATAGTTTTAGGAAATAGTAAATTTCATTTTTGGGTTCAGTAGACTATATGGAAATGGAGCTACTTGCTTATATGTACCTTGGTTGATTGTTACGCTGATTTGTCAACTATACGTGTTGTTCTTTAATTAAGACCCCTACAGAAACACATAGGAGATGCTATGATATGACTGGTATTTCTTAAAAATCTTAAAAGTTCTCTATGATTAAAAATACTACTACCAGTCACAATTCCCTCAGTAGTTTCAACTTCCAACAAACGACCACAACACATTAATAACCGCATCTGAACATTTATAAAATGAGAACCAGAGAAAGAGAAATAGAAAAAAAAATCCAATATACCATAATTCATAAAACCACGATAATCACCATCCCCACGTATCCCCATTATGGAAAATAAAAACAACACCAACCACATCATCAACTCGTGAACAACCACGTTTAACCTCGATTCAACCTTCCCAACAGTACCACTCGAGATAAACATCACAGTTTTCGTCCTTAATCCTCTTCTGGAGTTTGGCTTCGTCGTTCTTAGTGATGAAGAAACAACCCCAGAGTCTAATGAGTGTGAGGTTGTTAGTCATGTCGAGTAGTTGGTGGATGGCCTCCGCTGTGACGTTGGGACAGGTGTCGATCGTCAGGCGGGAGAGGTGCTTCATGTCGTTTTCCTGGCGAAGAGAGATAGTGGAGAGATGTAGAGATGGAACAAAAAAGAGATGGAACAAAAATTAAGATTAAAAGGGATAGTGACTGCGATGGTGAGAGTGAAGAGATGGAACAAAAATAGAGATTAAAAAGAGATGGAACAAAAAAAGAGATGGAACAAAAATTAAGATTAAAATGGATAGTGACTGCGATGGTGAGAGTGAAGAGATGGAACAAAAATAGAGATTAAAAAGATGGAGATAGTGACTGCGATGGCGATAGTGGAGAGATCTAACGAAAATAGAGATTAAAAAGAGATGGAACAAAAATAAAGATTAAAAAGAGATGGAACAAAAATAGAGATTCAAAGGGTTAGTGACTGCGATGATGAGAGTGAAGAGATGGAACAAAAATGGAGATAAAAAAGAGATGGAACAAAAATAGATTAAAAGGGATAGTGACTGCGATGGTGAGAGCGAAGAGATGGAACAAAATAGAGATTAAAGAGATGGAATTGAGATTAAAAGGGATAGTGACTGCGATGGTGAGAGTGAAGATGGAACAAAAATAGAGATTAAAAAGAGACAACAAAAATAGGATCAAATGGACAGTGGCTGCGATGGTGAAAGTGAAGAGATGGAACAAAAATAGAGATTAAAATGAGATGGAACAATAATAGTGATTCAAAGGGATAGTGACTGCGATAGTGAGAGCGAAGAGATGGAACAAAAACAGAGATTAAAAGGGATAGTGACTGCGATGGTGAGAGAGATGGAACAAAGATAGAAATTAAAAGGGATAGTGACTGCGATGGTGAGAGTGAACAGCTGTTTCACCTCCGTTTTCCTGGCGAGAAAAGATGAGGTTAGTGTGAGTGAGAAGATAGGTTAACCTGATATCGCTGGTGATAAGAAAGATAGTGAGTAAAGGCCGTGTCACACTAGCACTTTTTCCATCAATTTTTGACAATTTTATTTAACATAAATACAAACATTCTCGAATATAACTCTTGATTTGAGTATCCTTGGCTGAAAAAGTTGACGTTAAGGTTTTCAGACGGAAACGATCAGTATCGTCTGACTTGAAAATCGACAATTCCCTCAAAAATGGAGAACATTTCAGAAAATTGACGGAAAAAGTGCTAGTGTGACAGCACCTTAAGCTGATTGTGATAGTGATTCAAGTACTGGTGATAGTGACAGTGTCTAGTGACTTTGTAGGAGTTCGCTGATAAGGTAAAACTGCCCGATTTCTGTAAAATTGGAGAGTAAAACTTGTTGAACCGTTGCTAAGGAAACCGTAACTTCTTAACAAATGAGAAAGAAATAAAATCTAAGGCCCTATTTTTCTTCCATGTTGGAGCTACATGATATTAACAATTTGTTTATTTCTTTTTATAACACGTGTTTCTCAGTTGTATTCCAATGACACGACAATATAACAAATATCGACGCTATAAGTGTCATTCACCGTTACGATCGTAGAGGATTGTTTACCTAAACAACAGTGGTTCTTAAGCCTTATATTGCCCCGTTTTTTTTGTTTTATTTTTTTTTTAGTATTTCGTCTCTGTTTCCGTGTCTATATCAAAAGGAATATCTAAATGGAAATTAAACATATCTTTATCCTTACAGAAAAAGATAAAAGTTCTCCATTTCACTTTAGATAATTGCATAAATAAAGGAATAGCAAATACTTATTTTGGTTCTCTTATTTGGGAAATAATGGGCGAGCGAAGCCAACACATAACCTACTTGTATATAAGTAGCGATAATTGTGAAGAGAATTCTAAATATAATTAGAGAAATCACCTTTTAAAAAAATCTTTTCATGGAAGTTACTCACGCATACTATGATAAAAATCGATGTTATAGGGTGAAAGTCTGTCATATTACGTCTTAAACACACGCGCACAGACATAGGCAAACACGCACACACACACACACACACACACACACACACACACACACACACACACAACAACACAAACACACACACACACACAACACAACACACACACACACACACACACACAACACACACACACACAAACAGAAGCACACACATAATATATATAATCTTACTTCTATACTTCACAGAATAAAACTAAAGTACACTCAGTAGACACACACATTTCCGATTGCGAGCATTGCAGCTTGCCGGTTGCTATCTTATTGCACTATCTACTATCTACTATCTCCGTTGGTGAAAAGGTTATGCCAAGGAACTTTGAGACTTGAATGTGAGGTTTATTTATTATCATTATTTTTTTGTGTGTGTAAAAAAAAAAGAAAGAAAAAAAAACTTTTGTAGTCGATACAGGCGAACTCCTGTATTTTTATTAATGATTATTTTTTCTCGTTTCCCTTTCATTCACAATAGCTTCCCTGCCGGTATATCATTATCAACGGTTTATTCTTTATATTCCTGTTATATATTTTCTTCCTGAACTTCATTCCCTGCAATAGATTATCAGAGCATGAAATTAACAGTCACAAAAAACAAAATATATGGGTATGCAAAAGCAAATTAATAGATATGAAACACAGACATTACAATTATTACGTAAAACTTTTTTTTTTAAATATATTGCTGTGGGATACCGGCGTAAAATGAGATGACAGGAAATGGGTGGTTTAACCTAGTTTATTTCCCGCCAAAATTTCAAAACAAAAGAGAGTGCGAATACGATAGCAACAGCGTATCGAGTTCCTTGATTCAAAGAGATTGCCAAAATATTTCGCAATTGCAAACGGGTATTGTAAGTTCGTTTTTTTTTCTATCTAGAGAGTATATCTTTGTTATTTATCAATATAATAGCACGAGATTTGCATGTCTGTTATATAGGCTTGATACTGTGAAATATATGGGAGTTATACAGCACAATTCAAATTCTTTCAACCGCTGTTTACATGAATGCATTATTTCGCAGTCGCAATTTTTCAGCATTAATGAAAATTCTGATATTGTTGTCAAAAGTGGAAAATGCTCTAAAAGACCCCGGGTACAAAATAAAAATCCTCTTGACCAATCACGATAAAGTATTTATCCTAAGTGGGAGGGGCTTAGTACTTGAATGATATAGGCCATATATGACTTGTATAATTACTAGATAGATAGATAGATAGATAGATAGATAGATAGATAGATAGATAGATAGATAGATAGATAGATAGATAGATAGATAGATAGATAGATAGATAGATAGATATAGTATGTATAGTATGTATGCATATGTATGTATGTATGTATGTATATGCTACATCCAAACACACACATGCGCACACAAACGCACGTACCACATACAACTGTCTTTCAACTTACATTACTTGATTTTAATTATGTGAAAACGTCCATTGTGTCTCATTTATGCTTTTAAAGAACCATTGTTTGTGTGTTCTATGGTGCCTTTGTTACTCTATGTTAAAGCTGAGGTTCGGGTGATGGACCTTATGACCAAAAGCATTGTAATTATTTCGAACGGTTTGTATGTACACACGCACACACACACACGCAGCACACGCACACGCATACGCACACGCACACGCACACGCAGCGTACACGCACACGCACACGCACACGCACACGCACACGCAGCAACACACACACACACACACACACACATATTTATAAATATCTACGTGTGTTTGTCTAGATAGATAGACATATTTGTACATAAATATCTGTGTGGATATATGTATTATGTATTTATGTACGTATCTGTAATACACACACTATCTTGATTGTCTGCGTTTCATGTATCAAAAAAAGAAAGAAAAAAAAGAAAAAAGAATGGAAGAAAGAAAGAAAAAGAGAAAGAAAAAGAAGAAAGAAAGAAAAAAGAAAAAAGAGAAAAGAAAATGAAGAAAGAAAGAAAGAAAGAAAAAAAGAAAGAAAAAAAAGAAAAAGAAAAAAAGAAAAAAAGAAAAAGAAAGAAAGAAAAAAAAGAAAGAAAAGAAAAAGAAAAGAAAAAAAAAACTGCATACCCGGGAACACCTTTTCCAACACGATTCCCATTGACCTTATAAGGGACACTGCACTTTCGTCGCTCCAGATAACCAATGAAATAATAATAATAGCCAACGTCACGAATAAAGCAAAATGGAAAACACTTTGGTCAGCTCACAGTGTTTATCATACGCTGAATAGGGCAAAACGGGAAACTAGGCTGTAAAAGTTGTCAAGATCAATGACATGTTCCTTGTCATGTCACTTCCGGTTGATGTCACGGCTAAATAAGTGTAAACAATTTTCAGAGGAGTGTTCCTTATCATGTCATCAAGATCGGTGACATGTTCCTTGTCATGTCATTCCGGTTGATGTCACGGGTAAAAAAATGTAAACAATTTTCAGAGGAGTGTTCCTAGTCATGTCATTTCCGGTTGGCGTCACGGCTAAAAAAGTGTAAACAACTTTCCGAGTTTTATGTAACGTAGTATATATATCTTGTGAATGAAATAATTGATTGTCTCTTCTTATTATGCATGAGGGCGATGTACATAAACATTGCTTATGTACAGTGTATCTTATATATGTACGTATATATGGCCGTTCATACGAGTTCAAATGGTAGGCTTATTGTACTCATGGGGGGGTTTACTAATTAGCATAATACTCATATATTACTACAATTCATAAATATTTTAACTAAAGAAAGAAAAGTTTTTCATATTTTTTATCACAATGTAAGGGAGAGAGAATGATGATGATGATGATGATGATGATAATAATGATAATGATGTTGTTAATGATGATGATAATGGGAATGATGATGATAACTACAATAATAACAACAACAGCAACAATAATAATGATAATAATAATAATGTTAGTGACGATAACACAGTAATACAAATCAAAGAGTAAAGTAAAAACAGACATTTACACACACATACACACATAAATATCCACACACGTATACATACACAATAATAGACACACAAAAACAAACACAAACATCCACCCGTACACACACACCAGACACTTACCCCCCCCCCCCCCACACACACACCTACACACAAACACACAAAATACCCACACTATTACCACACACACAAACAAACACCCCCCCCCCACAACACTCACCCATTACACAAACACACAAAATACCCACACTATTACCACACACAAACAAACACCCCCCCCCACACACACACTCACCCATACACAAACACACAAAATACCACACTATTACACACACACAAACAAACACCCCCCCCACACACACACTCACCTACACACACACACACAAAATACCCACACTATTACCACACACACAAAACAAACACCCCCCCCACACACACACTCACCCATACACAAACACACAAAATACCCACACTATTACCACACACACAAACAAACAACCCTCCCCCCACACCCCACACGCACTGTTACCACAAACCCTACCCGCCAAATGTCGTAGAGAAGTTTGTCGGATATGGCATCAGTGGCTTTGATAAGAAGATTCTGCAGGTGGTGGCAATATGTCAGCAACTGTCGGAGTATTGTAGAGTTCATAGTTTCGGACGTCAGCGCTGACCAGACCTGTCAGGAGAGGCAACAAGAGGAAGAGAAAGTGAGAGAGAAAGCTGACAGATCGTTAATTAGAAAGTTGGTGAACTTTGAACTTTTTTTTTTTTTTACTTTTTTGGTGAACTTCTTTCTATATTTTTCAACTTTATTTTCAGGGTGGGTTGGGGGGGGGGGGTGAGGTTGGTGTAAAAAGCGGGAAGGAGGAATGTGAAATTAATAAATAAACAGATGAATTAGCAGCACTTAGAGAGCGCATACCTCCGCCATGTCAATAGAGCACTGGCGCAAGAAAAATATTCACACAATTACATTAAAATATTTATAAACAGAAAATAACTGAAGTGCCAGAAGGTTTAAAGTTGTCACTATCTCGCAATGCTCATGAATCCTTAAAAAAAAAATTCCTGGATCCGGATAAAATTCCGAATCGCCATCAATTTAATGGTAAAAACTTCATAAAAATCTATTGATAACTTTTTCGGTTATCCTGCTAACCAACTTACCAACAAACTAACTAACGCTACCAAAAAAAAAAAAAAAAAAAAAAAAATGGCGGCGGTTAATCAATTAATAAGTAAGCAATTGCCTAAAATGAATGAAATTGCAGAGAAAATAATCGAAAAATAGAAACAGTTAAAATGCTACCACGATTTATATAAAAAAAACGAATTTAATCTGATATAAAAGAGAGAGAAAAAAAAACAATTAACAACATATTTGTTTGCTTTCATCGTAGTAAAATCAATGTAGATGAATTTGAGTGATAAAAAATGCAGAAAAAAAACCGCATATAAAAAAAGAATACCACAAAAAAATATAGTCCTATATATAATAAAAAAAAAATATCGTAATAATACGTCCATAACAAAAAATGCATAAATGTCATTTTTAATCGAATTTGCTTAATGGAGTCGAAACGGTGAACTTTTGAAAATTTCATTACGTTTTTTTGTCGTTAGAATGACATACAATTTCACATATGCAAATTTATATACGTTATAATATACATATACATGCAATATCACGTTAAACCGGATAAAACTGGTGCTTCGTGCATATGCAACAACAGGCATACCAACATGTGAATATTGTGTTCAAATGAATGAACACATACACACACACACACGTACATACGCACATGGGTGCACACGGGGAATTACTTGTCGCTTTGTCTCTTTGCATGTTGATTTATTTGTTTATTTGTTTATTGGTGTTATTTCGTGTTTTTTGTTTGTTTAGATTTCTGGTAGTGTTTTTTTCCCGTTCTTCCTCTATCCTCTCCTTCTATCTCTTCTCTCTCACTCATTCTCTCTATTTCTATATCTATCTCTTCTCCCACTTCTCTCTCTCTCTCTCTCTCTCTCTCTCTCTCTCTCTCTCTCTCTCTCTCTCTCTCTCTCTCTCTCTCTCTCTCTCTCTCTCTCTCTCTCTCTCTTCTCTTCTTTCTATCTATCTATCTCCTGTCTCCCCCATCTCTCTCCTCTGTTTCTATGTCTCTGCCCCATCTCTCTCTCTCTCTTTCTCTTGCTCGATCCCTTCCTCTTTTCCTCCTCCCTTCCACCTTCCTCCCTTTCTAACCTCTTATATCCCCTCACTTAATGCCCTCTTTCACTCTCCCCTTTCCCCTCTCTCGCTCTCATTTCTCCCCTCTCTCCTTCTTTCACACCCTCTCCCCTTTCCCTCTCTCCTACTCCTCCCCCTCCCCCCTCCCCTCTCTCCCCTCTTTCACCCCCTCTCCCCTCCCCCTCCCTCCACTCCTCTCCCTCTCCCCTCCCCTCCTTCCTCCCTCTCCCTCTTCCCTCCCCCACCCTCTCCCCATCCTCCCCACCCCCTCTCTCCCTACCCCTGACAGACTCCTCCTGATGTCATTGAAGTACTGTTCTCTCGGGTACATGATTTCTTCGTAAACACCGATGTTGCTCAGTGCCAAGTTCTGCAATCGCGGGCAACACTCTCCGATGGCTGAGGAAAGGAGAGCGAGGTCAAGGTCAGGTCATTGATTTCCGATGGTCGTTTGGTTGATTTTTTTTTTTTTTTCTTTAAAGGGTGTTAGCGAAGTAGAGAAGTAAGGAGAAGGAGAAGGAGAAGGAAGGAAGAAAGGAGAAGGAGAGAAGGAGAGGAGAGGAGAAGAAGAGAAGGAGAAGGAAGAGGAGAAGGAGAAGGAGAGGAGAGGAGAAGGAAGAGGAGAAGGAGAAAGGAGAAGAAAGGAGAAGGAGAAGGAGAAGGAGAAGGAGAAGGAGAAGGAGAAGAAAGAGAAGGAGGAGAGAAAAGAGAGTTTTTTGTGTTTCTATTTTGTTTAGATTTGTTGTTGGTTAGTTTGTCTGTCCTGTTGGTCTGCATGCTATATATGTATGTATGTATATATGTATACACAGAATAGATAGATAGATAGATATAGACATGTATTTAGACAAAGATAGTAAGAACAAAAAGACAGACAAACAAACACATACACACACAAAACACAGACACAGACACAGACACAGCCACACACGTTCACACACACACACACACGCACACACACACACACACTAACACACACACACACACACACACACATAGCAACAACACACACACACACATACACACACACACACACACACACACACACACACATACACACATATATATGTGTGTATGTGTGTGTGCAGATAAACAGATAGACCGAGAAACATAAACAGTATAAAAAATACAGCAGACAAGACAAACAGAAAGACAAATGGATAAGTACATATTAAACCAATATATATCACCTCATATATTCAGTTACCTATATATCGTTATAAACAGGATTTGTATACTTTAAAATCTATAACTAAACCAAACTGACTTTGATAAAAGTACTGTTGCTGTACAAACAAACAAAGAAGCACAAGATTTTATACAATTCCTCTTAAATTATACGCTTCGCTAACCTTGATTTCAAATGTCAATCAAAATCGTAAACTCAATGCAGAGAGGGAAAGAAAAAATGGATAAATCTGAACAATTTTTAAAAAGGAATTCTGTCTTGAAATCTGAACAGTTTTTAAAAGGAATTCTGTCTTGAAATCTGAACAATTTTTAAAAAAATCTGTCATGAAATCTGAATAATTTTTTAAAAAGGAATCTGTCTTGAAATTGAATAATTTTAAAAGGAATTCTGTCTGAAATCTGAACATTTTTTAAAAGGAATTCTGTCTTGAAATCTGAACAATTTTTTAAAAGGAATTCTGTCTTGAAATCTGAACAATTTTTAAAAGGAATTCTGTCTTGAAATCTGAACATTTTTTTAAAAGGAATTCTGTCTTGAAATCTGACATTTTTTTAAAAGGAATTCTGTCTTGAAATCTGAACAATTTTTTAAAGGAATTCAAATCTCTTTTTATTCTGTCTTGAAATTCTGAACATTTTTTTTTTAAAAGGAATTCTGTCTTGAAATCTGAACAATTTCTTTTAAAAGGAATTCGGTCTTGAAATTTGAACATTAAAAAAAAAAAAGGAATTCTGTCTTGAAATCTGAACAGTTTTTAAAAGGAATTCTGTCTTGAAATCTGAACAATTTTTAAAAGGAATTCTGTCTTGAAATCTGAACATTTTTTTAAAAAGGAATTCTGTCTTGAAATCTGAACATTTTTTTTTAAAGGAATTCATCTTGAAGCTTGAGAGGAAATGCATCTGAAATTGGTTCTGTGTAAATGGGTCGAGGAAATAAGTTGATATTTGGTCTAAGATGGCGGTGATGAGAGGGAAAAAAGGAAACTTGTTCTTTGTTTCTCTTTTATTTCTTTCTCTCTCTCTCTCTTTCTCTTCTCCTTAACAACACAAACAACAAACCCAACACACAAACAAGAAACGAAACACAAACCAACAACTTAAACAACCCAAACAACACTTAACAACGCAAAAAACAACACAGACAGCACTTAACAACCCAAACAACAACACTCAACAACAACCTCCCACCGCTCCCCCCCTGTCACCCTCCACCCCACCTCCCACCCCCGACTCACCTCCCCCCCACCCCACCCCCCACCCCACCCCCTCCACGCCCCCCACCCCACCCCTCCGTCACCCCCGACTCACCGGCCACGTCCACCGTCGTAAAATTCACCAGCAGGAGCGAGTGGAGCTGGTGGCCCTTGACGGTGAGGACGGGCAGGACCCCCTCGTGGAAGTCGAGTGTGAGTCCCTCCGAGTTCGTGATCCTCAAGTGGGTGAGGTTCTCCATCCGCATGACCTTGTAGAGGACGTCGTTGTCGACGTAGGCGTTGCTGAGGGTGAAGTTCTGCCAAAAAAGGGGGAGGGTGAGAGAGTGAGGGTTGAGGGGAGGGTGGAGAGGAGGGTGGGGTGGGGGAGGGGAGGGTGGAGGGGAGGGAGGAGGGGAGGGAGGGTGGTTGGGGGAGGGAGGGAGGGGAGGGTGGAGAGGGGGGGAAGGTGGTTGGGGGAGGGAAGGGAGTGGGGGGGGGGGTGGGTGGGAGGGATTGAAGGAGAGGGAGGGTGGGAGGGTTGGGAGGGGAAGGTGGTTGGGGGAAGGAAAGGGAGGGAGAAGGGGAGGGAGGGTGGAGAGTGAAGGGGAGAAAGGGAGGAGGGGGAGGGTGGTTGGGGGAAGGAAAGGATGGGAGAGGAAAGGATAGGGGAGGTGGAGAGGGAGGGAGGTGGAGAGAAAAGAGGAAGCAGAGGGAGATGGATAGATAGATAGAATGATAAAGACAAAGAGCACAAAGAGAAAGCAAAACCACGCAGTAAAACAGGAAAATGAACAGAGAAGCACGCACGAAATACATATAAAAGGAAGATTTAATGAAAGACAAACACAAAAGAAAGACATAAAAAACAGACAAACTACACAGAAATCAAACCACAAAATCAAACAATTAAAAAAGACAACAGCATCAACAACAACAACAACCCCCCCCAAAAAAAAAAAAAATCCTTCAGACAACACCCCCCCAAAAAAAAAAGAAAAAAAAAGAAGAAAGAAGAAAGAAAGAAAAAGCTGCTTCAGACAACAGCCCCTCCACCCCCCAAAAAAAAGAAGAAAAAAAAAAAAACTTTGCTTCAGACAACACCCCCCTCCACCCCCACCCCCCCCC